ATTACTGATATCAAGATATAACAAAGGCTTTCAAAAGCTAAGACTTCTTAACTGTGAATATTTTCTGGCTTACTGTTTCTACCATTAGAAATCCCATTTCATAAGACGCTACAGAAGCGACAGGAGTTTTCTCTGCTTATTTGGAGTATCGGCTAATGCACCATTGCGACACCTCCATATTTTTCTGTACACTGCCAGTCAGCTGGTGGAAAGAATGCTTCGACACTTTCTGCACCTTCACAACAAAGAAACTAAACGAAGCAGATAAAAATGGTGTGGAAACTAAAAGATCTCCACTCATCGCTCTTGGTAGAGCAACACATTGTTAACAATACAGTATGTTGCAACAAATTAACCAAGTAACGTTGGCAGTGTTACTCTTATTCCAAATAAGAAGAAATAAACATAGCTCTTATTGTAAAATTCGTAAATTATGATATTCACTTATAAATTAAAGCAATTGTTTTGTGTTAATCATTTTTGTTTTAAATATTTATTTAAAATTTATGAAATTACTTTTAAGAAAATTGTTAAACGGTATGGTAAATGACAAAACCTCATATTTACCATGCAAACAATGTGTCAAGCTTAAAGCAGCGACTTCCATATCTGAGGGTCATAATTGTCACTTTCATAATTTCATAATTGTCGCTTTCATCTGACTGTCTGCCACATGCCCACTAACAGTCTGCTTTGGAAACAGACATAGAAGTGCTGACAAAATCCTGTCACTTCTACAGAGAGACTCAAAAAAAAAAAGAAGAAGAAGAAGCATTTAGGTATCGAAACAGGAACGTTCCAAATAAATCTCGGGCTTTATTTGCAACAGCTCCCTCTCTTTCAGTGTGTTGTCTCGAGGCTTTGACAGTGCAGTGAGTGCAGCAGAATGAGGTGGAGAAGCCCAGAGGAACCCCTTTCCTCTTCAGCAGGCCACATTAACCCAGCAGGGCTCTGACTTTATGGCTCTCCTGCTCACACTTCAGTGATGAGAGTAAACAAGCAGCGGGCCAAAGGTCAGCTAAGCCCACAGAATAAAAGAGGGCACAAGGGGGGGAAAGGAGGTGGGAGGAAAGGAGAGCGGCCCGAGGCGCTGCTCATATCACTGTCAGGGCTTCAAGCAGGGAGTGATGTACGAGACAACAGCCCTGAACCGGAAATGATTATAAACAGGGAGCACTGGGGGTGGAAGAGGGAAAAGAGCTGCATTGTCTTTATCTGTCAAATTTAGCCTTTTCTTTGGACCAGATATCTGCGGTAAAATTTGTGCAAAAATAAAAAGCGGGAACCGGCCCTGACAGAGAGGCGCGGATTGATCACAGTATTCTCCTTTTTGAATGAGGAACAACCAGGCGTTCATGTGGGTTTCTCTTCCAGCGGCCCCACCTGCATTGTTGAAAGACGGATGAGGCCGATTAAGGACACGTGGCGTCATTATTAATATAACTTCTGATTTTCCCTTTTTCATTTTTACATCATTAAACGCAACTCTGGTAATTAAGTGAGCCGGCGTCGTCGTGGCCGTCGTGGCCCGTGCGAAATCACATCGGCACGTATAGATTTTTCATTCTTAAGTTCTGGTCGCTCGCAGGCTTTAGCAAGGTGACTCTCCCTTTGCACTGAGATTAATCCCACTTTGACTGTGGAGGTGGATTAGAGCTCAAACTTGTTTTAATACCCATATCATCAGACACAAAAAAAAAGGAAAAAGAAACCGGGATAAAGATTTTGAGCAGAAAAGCAGCTCCGTGGAGCTAAAATACGACTGTTGAATCGCGAGTTAGCTCGCAGATTTGTCTGCCACACAGCAAATTAAAGATATTATCTTGCTGCAGGTTATATTGTGGAAGCTGTGTGCGATGATATTCAGCTTAAGCAGAGAATCCCAAATCTTTTAGCTTCCTTAACAAAGGTTCACAGCAGGAGACAGAGATAGAGCTTTTCGTATCGTTTTTTAAAAATTATTATTATTATATTGTTATTTATTTATTTAATTTTTTTTTCCCCAGTTCGTTCCTCCCAACACGTGTTATGAATGACCAGCCTGAGCTGCTGTGGCACAAACACACCCTTGGCGGACTCCTGCAGGGCCGTCTGCCTCTCGGAGCAGCGGAGGAGTAATCATTTTTATCCCGCTGATTCCCCAAATAGAAATGGACACAAATGATAAAAGTGTCGCGGCCACTCCACATGTCTGTGAACTAACAGGATTACACGTCACTTTCCAATGTTTTGTCGCGAATGGCTGCGATATTGCGTCCAGGAACTTTTTGGGGGGCAAGGGGGGGGACGGTAATATATGGTGGGAGACAAGTAGCTCTTTTATGGTCTGTGATTATTTAGTTTGAATGAAACCAGTGATTTATGCCCATTTAGCTGAAAAGCCGTGTAAATTCCCCCCCCTCAGCTGCGTTTTCCCCTGGATGTAGAGTGAGCCGAGTGAAAGTGACAACTGGGTTTGGTGTGGAATAGCGCGCCGCGTCCCAGAGTTATATTTAATATACCTGACATGAAAAACGTGCCTACCTACTTACCACTACCCGCAGCACAAAGGAGAACCCCGTGGCCCACTGAGCTCCGAGGGTGGGAGTAAATAGCAAATTAGGAAATATGAACTGTTATGGCAGATAAACCACCAGCGATTAGAGCATGTTGAGATATGTAGCCATGGCGTCTGGTCAATCAACATCTGAGCCACGTGCCCATTTCGTTTTTCTTTTTTTGTTTGTTTGTTTCATGCTGCACAACAAGCTGGAGCAGAAAGCGGTGGAGTCAGGAGTGGTGTGTGCTGTGGATGGGGGGGTTAGTGGAGCAGCGGCAGATTGTCCACTTGGATGGCTTGGCTCTGCAAGCATGATGGAGCTCTGTCCAGCATCTCAATGTCTCCAACACAAATAGGCACATTCATCCACTCCTCTCACACCATTACACCTAAAAGACTTGAAGCCAGCCCATCCATAAATAGAGGCAAATTTGTTTTTTCTTTTTTTGTTTGTTTTTTTTTTTCCTTCGCTGGCACTGCGACCAAAGAAAACACTAACAGAGGCGAGGAGGCCATAATATGTTTGCCTAGATTTTTCTGTTGCAGTTTTTTTTTTATCTCAAGATAGCTTTTTTTTAGGACACAAAGGGGTTGTTTTCTGTTGTGTATTTTCTCCAGTGGACAGTGGCAGTTCTTTCATGGTTAGCATCTTGCCCACCAGGGTCCAAACTGTGTTTTAAATATCCTGTTGTCAGTGTAAGACCAGTCTGTTTTCTATTTTACCATGTATCCCAAGATATCAATAAAAACAACACATGCATGGTGTAAAATCAAGAGGATTTTGTGCAACTTTTGGTTCTCTTACATGTCCATACCTCAATTTTGGGCATTTATATATCATTCCAAACTATTTTTTTTAATATAATCTCTGTTTTGTATAAAAATATCCAGCTCTGTCTAACCACAGTAGTTTGAAGTGGAACAGATAATTCCTTAAAAAACTGTGAACTCGCAATATTAGTGATACCTGGTTTAGCATCATCAGCCAGCCTCAATATATTATCACATTGTATGTGAGTGTGCACTTGTTTGGGCATAAACTATGAAATTCTTTGAGGTGCCTCCCCACGGTGGTGGCTAGCAACTAAATACATCTACTAAGACAACAATTTTTGAAAAAAGAACAAAAAAACACTTTTAAGAGCAGCTTTACTCCACCATGCTTTTACTTTTACGTCATTAGACTCATCATGAAATATGGCTTAGTAAAAGTAAGTTCACCGATTGAAGAACAAATGTGTTTTAAACGAAAACCTGCAGGTTAGGTTAAAGTAAGATTTCTTTGTTTCTTCAAAAGCTTTGTTGATGACTGTTTTTGTACTTTTACTTGACTTCAAATTTTGGGTACTCTCCCTACCTGTGGTAGTCAGTAAGTCGTATCAGGCATATAAAAAACCCACCAGGATCTGAGCTTGGAGGGGTCAGTTGGTTGAAGATCGTTGTTACTGGTTCTGATTTTGTTCCCACCGGCTGACACAATAGAGTCTCTAATCGTCTTACTCAGAATCCAGAGGCTGGCCATATCTTAATGAAGCTGTAATGAGATGTCAAAAATCTCTGAATTGCGAGAGGGATTATTGAATTGAAACAACTCTGGCAATCATAATGTTTGAGTGGCCACTCAGTATTTACTGCTTATTGAGCCACCTTTTTATCCACTTATCCAAACTAGATTGGCTGGTGCTTGTTTTTTTTGTGTTTGTTTGGTTTTTGCTGTAATTTTGACCCGCAGTGTTTTTGTGTTTGTTTACTCTCTGGAAAGCCCTGGCGTTGTGGCTGCAATGCCAGTGCACCCAGGTGTGAATGTATGTTATCTGCTGTGTGATTACGAAGCGCTGAGAGGCTGCCGAGACAGACAACCAATGGAAACAAACAGCAGGATCTGTGAGCAAGAACAGATTTCACAATTAGGCACTTTGCAAATGACTGACTAAGTGTGCATCTTGCTGTATGAAGATTTTATTCCATCCGCTTTGTTTTCATTTACATCTTCTCCCATTGTTAAAACAATAATATAATAATCTTGTGAAATTAAAACAGGAAACCGTACTGAGATTTAGGGGATACCTTCAGTCGGGTTTGTGGGAGACAGAGATACTTACAGTAGGTATAGCTTCCTGTTTAGCATCTTTTCACAAAGTAGAAGTGCCACTTCACTATTGAGCATTTGTCAGTTTATGGATGTTGCTGTCATGTCAGCTTTCCTGTACACCCAGTGTGCAGCACAGTGTGTAAATAAAAGAGAACAGACATAGATGCGGGCGACAGGAACACAACACATACACAGGAGGCGCTCAGTTCATACCTGCAAGGGAGGAATCACAGCATGGGAGACCGCAGACAGAATGCATTTAATTGCACTTGACTGTTCAGTCATGGTTTTGCATCTATTTTTTGCACTTTTTTTTTCCTCTGTATGTCATTTGCTGAAGGTTTGTTCTTTCCTTCTGTGCTGCTGCAGGTCTCAGCATCCGAGGTGCCCAGGAGGAGGACCCTCCGGACCCCCAGCTCATGCGCTTAGACAACATGCTGCTGGCGGAGGGAGTGGCAGGGCCGGAGAAGGGCGGAGGATCCGCGGCAGCTGCGGCGGCGGCCGCAGCCTCGGGAGGGGCGGCCGACAACTCCATCGAACATTCTGACTACAGAGCCAAACTCACACAGATCAGACAGATCTACCACACAGAGCTCGAGAAATACGAGCAGGTAAGAAGGGATCTTTGCAAATTCCAGGGTCATTTTTCCTAAAGTTTGAGTAAGGATTAGGTTTTTGCTTTCCACAATCATTTACATGTCTGAATTTGTCAAAGTGGGATGGAAAACAAACATCTTTTTTAATTGTTTTCACAAATCTGAAAAGAACGCTTTCTCTATGTCATCTCTGCTGGGTTCCTTTGCTTTCATGACACTCTCAAAATAATAAAAATGAGACAATTGTCATCTATTTATGTATTAAGAGACTTTTACAAGCAGTAAGATCACTAAATTGTACAAGATTTTCAAAACCACTATTTTGCTTTACTTGTTATTGGTGAATAGGATAAAACATTGACCTTTGCAGTTGTAGCCCAGAAAAACCTGGAGTTGTTTTAATAGCAGACAAGCTACTGTGACTCCTAGTCCTAGTTCATTTCATTCATCTAAAGAACATTTTCAGCCATGCTTTTATTTATTTATTTTTTTTAACTGCAAAAACATTTACAGTTTACATTCCCATTCCTGATGGGAATGTTGAGATAAATTTTTGAGCTTAGCCTGCTGCACCGAGAGCAGCTTATGCCCTCCATTAGTGAGAACATTCCTGGCATTATGATGAGAGAGAACAGCTCTGGAAAATAAATTGCAGTATTATGCACTGTGTTGTAGATGATTATAGAGATCCCAAGGATTGGACTCCTCATCTTTGTTCAATAAAAAAGTATGATCAGCTCTTTCACCTAGCACTCTGAGCCTCCCATTAAGCACTAAAGCATTATGGGTTTAAAGAAAAGGTGTAGCAGTGATGTCTCAGCAAGCCACTGAGCTAAATTAGACTAATTTACTCTGCGCTTTGCGAGAGGAGGTGCGGGGGCACGCAACACTTTGCCCGGAGTAAATGCATCTTTCTTAAGGGTGTTTCTGTGTTTTAATTATCTAAATGTAAATACTTAACGAATTTTACTTAGAGTAATGAGCTAAAGTGTGCACTGCGTAAATGAGTTATTCTAATTAATCTTGTATGAACTACTGGTTTAACAGAAGCCTGTTTGAATTCACTCTGTTATGGGCAAGCAAAAATTGCAAATGTGCACTTATTGAAAGATGACTTCATCTACTATGTCATCAGAGTCACATGAGCACTAAAGCAGTCTGCCAAAGTTAATTTGATGAATGAAAAATTGAAATAACTGTTGGAAAATCAATCTGTGTGCTTTCTGTCTTTCTTTCATTCATTCTTTCTTTCTTTTATGATTTCTTTCTTACTTTCTTCCCTTCTCTCATTCTTTCTCACGTTTTTGTGAGTGCAGATGACTCACTTTGGTTGGTTATGCTGTTCTGTTCCCTTTCAGGCATGCAACGAGTTCACCACCCATGTGATGAACCTGCTGAGGGAACAGTCTCGCACGCGGCCCATCTCGCCCAAAGAGATCGAGCGCATGGTGGGAATAATCCACCGCAAGTTCAGCTCCATCCAGATGCAGCTGAAGCAAAGCACCTGCGAGGCTGTCATGATCCTGCGCTCCAGATTCCTTGATGCCAGGTCTGTGGATTGCGTATGTTTAGCGTACGTGTGTGCACTGTGGATATAAAAAGACTCCACATGGCTGTTGAAATACCACATTTTCGTGACCCGAAGAAAAAAAAAATAGACCATGAGAAATCGTTTTAGAACGTTTTTCCCCGTGCACCGTGATCTCTATTGTTTATTAATCAACTGAAAAATACACCAATTTCAAGTAAAAGCCTGATTGCATAAGTGTGTGCACCCTTAAAATAAGACTGGATGAAGTTCCTTTTGATTCAGTTTCAGCAATTATCGATGGTAGCATATCTGCAATCAATATAAGAGAATTAGCTTTTAATACAGTTCAGCTGTAGATTTTACTGACGTTGACAACAATCACGTTTGCAAAGAGATTACAAAAGACTAAATAATCTTGTTGCACAAAGGTATCAGTCAGGAGAAGAGTACAAAAAATCCACAACAATGGCTTCAGAAAATATAAAGTCACTGAAAATGGATGTTTCTCCATAACTGATTGAAAAAAACTTGTCAGAGAGTAACAAAGATATATATATATATATATATATATATATATATATATATATATATATATATATATATATATATATATATATATATATATATATATATATACAGTCTTTTGAATTCTCCATAGAGCTAAACTTAGACTTGCCAAAATTTCCCAAAACCCTAAAATAATAATGCGTTATGGTGGAATTAAAGTCATATTAGAGTCTTTAGTCTCAGTTTCTGACACAAAAAGAAAACACCACATCATCAAGGAAAACCCAGTGAAGGTTACTTGAATTAGTCTTTTTTTCTTACATTGTATTAAGTCAAGAGTATCAGTCAGTTTTTGATCCAGAACTCTCAGGTGTCTGCAGGAAACCTGAAGAAGAAGCATTTCATTTTTCCACATTGCAATAAGTTCAAGCACCGCAAATCAACAAGAAAAGAAGGAGAAGAAAAAAAAGTTTGGGAATGGTCTATGTAGAGCCCAGAACAAAATCTGACAGAAAATCTTTGCGGTGCCCTGAAGAGGGCTGTGCACAAGAGACACCCTCACATCATGATAGATATGGAGAACTTTTGGAAGTGAACATTGTCAAGTCGTAACGTTAGATGCCGATAGACTCCTACACATTAAGACAGAACGCATACATCAAATCAAAATGTAATTGCAAAACATCATGTTAAAGGTGTACACACTTAGGCGACCAGAATGTTGCAACTTTTTTTACTTTCTTAGGTAAAAAATCCCTAACAGATTTGTTTGTTCTTCAGTATTTAATGTCACGTGTCACATTAAATATGGATCAATTTCAGAAATAATTTATCTTTATCTTTTTTTTTTCTTTTTCTTGCATTATAAAATCCTGGGATCTGAAAAGGAGTGTGTACAAGGATGTGTGTATGTGTGCATTAGGTACTCAAAAACTTCCTCTATGCTTCTGTGTGACCCACATAAGCAAAACCCAGCGGGCGGGGGGAGTTCTCGCAGACTTTTTGTGCAGGTCTGAAGTTATTCTCGCCTTTCTAGCACAGCACACAGTATGAACACCGCAGAGATGCATGAATTTAATTACACCCATGTTCCATGCATTATCCATTTTGAAGACAATCACGGCCCCACACCTGAAAGCAGTTAAGACCAAGTGAAATGCGGGCGAGTCATGCGTAATGGATGGAGGGGAGGTCATCGGCAGGTGTTGTGGATTACTCTAATCACTAACAGTAACCATGCAGTGTGGAGCTACGCCGAGAGCAGCACAAGTTCTGGCCAAACAAGCCGAGTGGAAGCACATTTGCTGCCTGCCGCCGCTTGTGTGGAGCACGGTAAACAAGGCAAAATAAGCAAATGCTCAACAACATGATAAGTAGTGCCCTTGGGAAGGAAGTGGACCCAGATCTAGTTAAGAGTTTTTCTTGTTTCTGCCACAGAACCCAGGGCTGTGGCACTTCAGGAGCAATGCTCAACTGTGCGTGCCGTGATTTCTATAATGCACCGAGATGCACTACGACTGGGCTTTGGCGCTCCATCATGAAGCCCACCCATCCGCTGCACTAAACTCTCCACATTACACGCTTGGACTGGGGATTGGAGACCAACAGACCAAATTAAACATTGTATGTGTTTTGAGACAGCGCATTTTTGTGTGGGTCAGCTTATTGAAGTCCGAGTTCGCTGGTTTTTTTCTTATGCGCGGGACACGATATCCCTCTCCCAGAGGCCCTTAACAACAATTCCTCATTATTTTCACCATTTATGTGTGAGACTGATTGTGCAGTCCAAAAACAAATGGACGGGTTCACGCTGGTCTCACTAACAGGCCCTTTTTCTCAATTTTTTCTTTTCCCTCCTTTCCTCTCCACTCAGGCGAAAAAGGAGAAACTTCAGCAAGCAGGCGACGGAAATTTTGAATGAATATTTCTACTCGCACCTCAGCAACCCATACCCGAGCGAGGAGGCTAAGGAGGAACTGGCCAAGAAGTGCAGCATCACCGTTTCCCAGGTGGGTAGCACTCCTCTTAACAGTGGGCTGCTGGGCAAAACGAGGTGGGGGAGCCTAGAGGGATCGTTACAGTGGGTCACACCAGCGAGACACAATGTCCTCTGCTAACCTTGACATTGTGACTGCCTAATGATGCTTCAGTCAAGGCCAGTCCCAGTCAGTCAGAGCAGGGCCACGGGGAAGGGAGGCCTATATCATCTTAGCCTCAATCATAGCAGTATGCTGTCCTTCCTTACTGTGGCTCCCCTGACATTTTTCCTTCTCATTCCCATCCACCATGTTTCCTTTCTCTCTCTCTCTCTCTCACTCTCACTCTCTGTCTCTCTGTTGCCCGGTCAGTCGTTCAGGTCATAAGCTGGGGAGATAAAAATGGCATCATCCATTACTTTAAGAAAAGCAGTTAAAGGCTGGTGCTTTGAAACTCTGGGTGAAATTGGGTATTTATCTGTATGTTTTCCCTTCAAGTGCCCTGGCAGAAGTTTGCTAATTCCCTGTTATACTTTACACTTAAATATGAGGCTTTCCCTCATTCTATATATCATAGCCTCCTCATTGGGTACACCTGAAGGCAATATCCCTCACATTTAACACCACTCAAACCCAGACACATCCAAAGTATTATTATTCTGTGCTCTCCTTTCCTTTTTTCTTCCTTTTTTTTTGTTCTGCTGTGATTGTACTATAAAGATTTTTATCCTCTGTTGTTCTGTGGCTGTCCTCATGAGACACAATAACATGGAAACATGAATCTATACAATTATCTGCAGTGTTTTGTGTGTGTGGGGAGGGGGTATATTGAGTGTAGTCGTGAAGAGTCAGATACTGTAAAAGCCCATTCTTTTTTGCCTTCAGGGGGTGGGAAGCACCATCACAGTATCACAGGTATGTCATAACCTCTCCTGATCAAATGTTTTCATGTTCTTTCAACCTCCTTTTGTTTTTTTGTTTCTTTCTTTCTTTTTGAATGTCGTAGGCTTCCAGTTTTCTCCACTGCACAGAACCTTTCCCCTCCCCCCTCTCACACATGGACCAATGCTAATGTTAGATAAAAAAGAAGAATGTGAAGTTTGACTTTACATTTTGAAAAGTGAATGACAATATTCAGTATTTGCCTACAATGTACCTGCAAGTCTCACAGATCTATAATTGCATCACACCCACGTAATCACTGTGTGTAACAATGTGTCACATTCCTCTATAGCCATTTATTATCATGATTTATTATTTTTATGTTTTTCCGTTTTTTTTATTTTATTTCAATTAGTGCTCCAATTTATTTTTGGTTTGTGTTTTTCTCCGTGTTTCTCCAAACAGGGCTCTGTTTCTTTGCACTTGAGTGGAAGATAACATTTTCTAATATATATTTATTTTTCTTTTTAAACTACGTGAACTCAGATACTATTCATAGGGTTCCTCTTGGTGAATGCATACCAGACAATCCTACTGACTCATTTTGGTTGGGGAATACTAATACACTTAGACTTTAGCAACACTTTTCAGAAAGCAGTTTTATTGTTATTTCAGTTTATTTCAATAAACTGATTGGGAGCCTAGTTGTGTAAATGGGTGTCTCAAAGGGCAAAATTGTCATTATTTGGTTAGTAATGTATAACTAGGTGTACAGTCAATTGTGAGAATGTGAGTTTTAAGTTTCATTTAATGTGGGGATACTTTCTAGGTTTTAATAGTGTGGGGTTGCTTAGATGATTGTATCAGAGGAGCAGGAAATCATAACTATTTTATCTTCTACCTGCTTCTTTTTCAACAATTTGTGTACAATTTCATGTTAATTGGCATGACTAATTTATTTTTGTTTTTCTTCTATTTTGTTTTTACTTTTTCTGTTTGAAATAAATAAATGCAAACAAAAATTATAATAAAGGTTTTTGACATATTACTAGCAATATTTTGAACAATCTTTGATCAGGGTAAAAAAAATCGAGTTTAGCATTGCCAAGTGTATTCATTACTTGCTTTTATGCCATCTTAATTCTAATAGTAAAGCAAAAGAACCTTCAATTATCCTACTTAATATACTGAGAAATATTAAGGTAAAGTCTTACCACTGTATTTAGTTTGAACTAGAGAAAATCAAAGGCAATCCAGGTTGATGAACAAATCTGTTAAACGTTCCTTTAATTTACCACCAGATAATGCTAGCATTATTAAAAGCAGTGAACAGAATAATTTTCCTAAAGTGTTTGTACTGCATGCAATGACATGCAAATAAGAAATAGAAAATACAATGAGGTTTAACTGGCAAAATATGAGCTGCCAGTGATGCCACGGACATGGAGCCATATCACAATACCATCCTACATTCTGACTGGTATTGAGCCAAAACTCTGAAACCTCGACGTAATGCTGGGCATATAGGTAATCCCTCACAGTGACTGAACCTTTTCAGAGTCACAAACTCACTGTGGTCACGTTGAAGCCCTGGCTGAGTCATTTTTCAAACTCCATGTTGCTCTTTTTTGTCCTGCTTTGTTGATTGCGCACATAGTTCATTAAGTAAACACCATCCGTTGTGTTTGGTATGCCAATATCACTCTGCGGCTTTGCTCGATGCATCATCGCTGATGAAACACCCGGCATCAGTTTAGCAGTGATCATTTAAAATGCCTGCAATGTGCAGAAGTCATCCCAGGCAGAGATCCTTGCTTTCAAATGCGTTTTGTTTCATGGACTCTTAAAATGCCTCAGTCTTCAAAATTGCTGAAGTTCAGTCAGAGCTTGACACCTCCTCAGTGGCTCTGTACTCGCATACTTACTTGTGTGTTGCAAACAAGAGCATGGCATTGGGCTACTTTCATCCAAGACTTCAGAGGCCAGAGTTGATACCAGTTTGTGACCGGATCTCTTGACACGATTCCTAAACCTTTTTTTCAGTTCAAACATCAGTTATTAATGTTTCAAGAGGCATGTCTTTTCTAATCTTGGGTGACAATTAATTTTGGAGAGAGCGCTCTGACAGCCTTTTGTATGATTTAAAATAAAATGATTACAAAAATTACAGTAAAGGGTTATTTTATTGCTGTAGATTACATAGAGAATTCAGGGGGCAAGTTAATTAGGCAACAATAATTTTTAATTATTTACAACAGCTTCCCAGTCTGTAAAAATTGTCATAATTATACAACATTATGTCTTTGCAACATATATGCATTGACTTGTAAATGTTGTGTCTTTTAGGAAGCTCATGTTAGGCACTGCAGTCACATAGTCTTACTCTTTTTTTTTTTTTCCAAACACAGAAGTGAAGTGAATGCACTGCCTCTCATGAGACTGAAGGGAATTAGTTCTGCAGATTGGGTTTTGCTTCACAGCTTACACTGCAGTGCATTTGCTCATTGTTTAGCTAAACTTGAGGATACCTTGAGTGATGGCGTACAGGACAGAGAAATGTGGAGGAAAAAAGAAAAAGAATTAAAACAAAATTGGCATTGAAGTGAATTTGGTGACCGTTTCCTATATTGCTGTAATAGCATGTTCTAAAATAGTGGCTGGATTACTCATAAAATAATTTTAGAAATATATATGCATATAAATATAGATTTTCCTTTTCATAGATGTTGATTAGTTTAATGCACTGCATGAGCATTTTGTTAAATTAAGCAGACTGATGAGCATTAGAAGAAAATAGTGTGATTTTTGTTGGTTCGTGGCCACAATGTGAGCCATCTAAATGAGCGAGAATATTGCTCGGTGTTTGTCCCTACAATCTACTGTAAGCAGGTTAAGTAAAAAGGATGATGGCCAGGGCTTTCATTGCTTCCAATTAAACCTTGCTTGTTAGTTTAACCTCTAGGTAAACCCATCAAACAATTGATGTCAAGGAAGCCCTGCCAACTGTGGGCCTCGCCTGAATGGTCATTAATTTTAATTGCCTAGATATTAAAGATTTAGAGTGCAGAGACGTGCGGGATAGAAATGATCTGATGTCCTGCAAATCCAGTCAGTTTTTACACCACGGCATTGGCGGACTGCTAGGGATATTAAAATTTAAGCACATGGGTGGAAATTAAATAAAGCGTCATTAGGGGCAGCTGCTCTTTGGCTGGTCCAGCCGTGGGCTGCAAGGGCCTGAGAGGGGGGCTGCAGCACAGCGACAAGACACTCTAATTTATAGGGCCATTAAAAACAAGCATCATCTCATTATTATTCCGCTGTTATTGCAGAGCCAGCATTTGCACATAAGGTTCACTCCTCATGCAACTTTTCAGTGTATGATTGTGGATGTCATCATTCCAATAAAATTAACACTTATAAGCCTGAACTAGATGTGGACCTAACCAAATTTTGACATTAAAGGTTGTTTTTTTAAAAAATTATTAATTTTGTGAAAGTTTGGTTCTGCATTAAAACAAGCTGAAATAAATGAAGAAATGCACCACCTGGACTTCACTAGTGGAAAATATAGGAACCTCTCATTGAAAATATTGTGTACAGATTATTGTGGTTCAGCTGGTAGGAAGTTATTTAACCCCAACTCGTTCTCTTAAAGAAATAAATCAAAACGAGTAAATAAAATGGGCAAGTTTGGCAAAATAAATAAATAAATAAATGTTAAAGCATTTGCCTTCTGTATGATTACGCAAAAAATCTCAGCTGGTGGGTCAGAAATCCTCATTGTATAATATTGACTCACAATTTTTTTTCTACAATTTCTTCAAAAATTCTAATCAGCAATGTGTTAAATGATCCTAAATGGTTTTATTTTATGGAGAAAAAAAATATTTTTGCCTTTGAAATAATTTGGAATAGCTGATGTATAATTTTATCTGTAACATGTTATTTAGATAAACAGCTCTATTTAAATAAACATGCACCTTATAGCCTTCTCAGTCTTTATAGAGAAAAAATGTGTATAAAGAAGGAAATCCTGGAAGTATGCAGCAACACATGAGGGAGGGGTAGAACTATGTTACCATATTTTTCTTAAAGTTGGAGAAAACTTAAGTCACTCTGGAACTTTCTTTGAAAACGCTTAAACCTTCATATCGGTTGCATAACGAGCCACAGCCAACATGTACGTTTGTAAAAACTTTGAATGTTCTAACAAAATCTTATCGCCACTTTTTATTTATTTATTTTTTTAAATTGATCATTGTATGTGACTGCTACTCATAGCTGCACGTCTTTACTCTCCTGCACATGTTTACACATTTTAATACGAGGCAATCCTCCAAGTCACCAGTCACGCACGCATACAAACACACAAAAATGTTCTGTTGTTTTAATGTCATGCCACATTACATAGAACATATAATTATTAGTCTTCATTAAAGCTTCAATAATATTTTCAGACAAGTTGATCAGTTTGTAATTTTTCTAACTCCTCCCCCTCTCCTTTATTGGTACTTATGCAAAATCTGACATGTTGCCGTACACAAGCTAAATATCTCACAGCTTTATTTGCCAACTTGTTTTATTATATTTACTCTGTGAAGAATCTTTTTTATTTGCATAAGGTGTCAGTCAAGTAGTCACTGAAACGGGATCAGGAAGCATTCTTCAGTGAACAAAAATCTGAACGTTTCTAACTTTTCAGCAGCCTCTGGAAACAGTCCAGTTAGAGAAACTCTGTCACACTGACTTTAATGTTAGTGCAATAGGAGCCTCCTGTGTTTTCATTTTGTCAGGAGACAAATGTGGGAGTGTGTCATGCTCCTATCCATGAGAAGACACAAGTGGCTCCTGATTACGGCTTAATTAGCTTGTGTACCCGGCGGACATCACCGCAGAGGCTGGGAATTGGGTACTTGATGGACCCAAACATGACATCTTGAAACAATCACACTGCTGAATGCACGCTGCTGTGGCTGCTTGACGTCTGACTCCTCTTGCTCCTCCTCCCTCTGCTGTCTCCCGCACACAGGTATCCAACTGGTTCGGCAACAAAAGGATCCGGTACAAGAAGAACATCGGCAAGTTTCAGGAAGAGGCCAACCTGTACGCCGCCAAGACGGCCGTGAACGCGGCACACGCTGCAGCCGCTGCGGTGCAGAACAGCCAGGCCAACTCCCCCACCACTCCCAACTCCGGTAGGCATTCGTACGTCTAAAAAAGAACAAAACAGAAGTGAAATCAAATAAAAGCTCTGCCCTCAGCCTCAGTCCTAAACCTGCTGCCTTTCTACCACACTCACTCATGCACCATTCACACTGGCAAGAGTGACAGGCTCTGCTTCCAGCTTGGGGATCACAGTGTCTCCTGTCTATAAGACAGTTGATGCCAAGCAAACTCATGCATAAAGAGAGCGTTCCTGACTTGTGAACCGAGAACACATGTTTTTTGGGGAAAAGAAAGAAAAAAAAGTGAGTGTATTCAGAACGATGCCATGGGATTTGTTTTCCCTTGACTTTGTCAACTTCTTGTCATTTGTAAGGTAATGGTATGCAGTTCCACTGAATAGTTTGAGATTTTCCCCCCAAAAAGAGCAAAAAACAAAAAAAACAAAACAAAACATAATTGCTGGGGGCATCTAATTAAGAGTAATACGAAACTACGTGGAGTTTACAAGGTTTGCTTTTATGTGACACTTAAATGTTTATGATCATCAAAATCATTTTTACTAGTGAATGCGAAATAAGTTTTCAAATGGTGATTTCATTTATCAACATAAAAAAAGACTGTGACCTGGATGTTCTGCTGTGAAGAAATAAAAATATTGATCAGAAATAAAATCACAGGCATATTTCAGCACGGAAATTGTCACAAAACTATTTCTGAGGATTTGGAAATCCAGCAAACCACAAACCTTATCGATGGAGGAAACATGGAACGGCGAAGGAACTCAGAAACGAGATTGGACAAAAAAAACGGCTTCAGTAGAAAAGTTCCTATGCAAAAGAAACACTGCTGACCAAAAGAACACAAAGGCCCCATCTGTTTTCAGTTTTTTTTTCCTGTTTCTTTCTCTGAGCATCTTGACTGATGAAAAATTGTACAAAAGTGTTATTGTTTTAGAAGGTGTATGTCCTGTTTCATCTGGTGTGAAGCTAAGACAAAGTTTCATCAGTTTGTCATGTTAAAGTGAAGAATGTATAAAAGACCCAAAAGTGAACAAGATTTGATTTGAAGTTGCCTTCTTAACGACCAGACGTAAATCAGAGTAAGACGGCGTGGCATAACCTTAAGCAGACCAGAAATCCATCGCGATGTAAACATGGCTGGCACAACTTTTATACATTTTAGGGTTTAAAATGTTTTCCTTTTTTTTGTTTGTTTTACATATGACCATTGGCTTGGATAGCATTTTCTCTTTATTAAATGAAATCATCATCGGAAACAATATTTTGTATTTCTAGTTATCTTTTTTCTTTTGTGCTAGAAACACAGATTCTCCCTTGCATATGCTAAATCTGAAAGGGAGAAATACTTTTTGACAGCATTGTATATTTATAAGAAATATCAAAATAGAGCCTGGATGCTTTCGTCCACGTTAATAAGTAATGTTTGATTGAAATTGGACTTGGCTGACCTGCGTGGGGATGTGGCGAGCTTATGAAGTGGTCCCTTTTTCTTGCACCCAGGATTCCAGATGAAAGATGAAGAGTTTCAGCTGGATTCTGCAGAGAGCAAAAACACTCTTTTAAGCAACATGTTTACTGGTACTGCTCTTTTCATAAGCTTCTTATTGTCTTTGTCATGTACCATACGATGCCTCCCTGTCAGATTTTAGCCTGGAAGTAGCTGATGTGGAACAATTGGGAGCTTAGGCGACCCAACCACATGTAGAGCCGGTCCCCCTGTGTGTCGTGTGATCCTCATCCCATTTGTGTTCACCACATTCCTCATGAGACATTTGGTCCCGCTGCATTCCGTACCTCCTCCGTTTGGCTCCTTTGCTTTCCCTTCCTTTGCCCCTGTAGTTGCTTGCTTTGTGGAGACTTTCTTCTGTGTTCTCGTCTGCCTGAGTTGGGTTTTGTTTACACAGACGCACGCGTGCTGCGAGTCTGTGTCGCTTGTGCGTGGGCGGGGTGTGTGTCTTGTGCTTCTCCCGTTATAGACCTCTCATGTTTTCAGCCACTTACATCTTCCCTTTCCAGGTTCTTCGGGTTCTTTTAGCCTCCCAAACACTGGGGACATGTTCTTGAGCATGCAGAGTCTGAATGGGGATTCTTACCAAGGGGCACAAGTCGGAGCCAATGTACAGTCGCAGGTAGGATCAACAACCAGGGACAGTTCCTGAGATGCCACCACAGAGAGCTGTCCTTGTCTTGCCTGTGTACTGAGCCATCCACAGTGCAGTCTGAAGCACATTAAAACCAAAAATAGAAAATAAGGGAAAAACCATGCCGCTCCTGCGAGGGGCAGCTCAAATTACCCAGTGAGGCCTCCACTGCTATCCGACTGTATGAAAGTGTTTACTGACTATTTCGCTTTGGATGGAATATTTTGGTAATCAAAATATAATCCCACCCCACTGCTACCATGCCAGGAAACAGTTTCCTGGTTACGAACGTTTTGTGAATGCATTTGGCTTTGACTTGGGCTCTTGGGTTCGGTATTGGGTTTCTTTAGTACAATGTTTCCCCTTTATTTCCTGTGCCGTGTTGCTGTCCTCCTGTCTCATTGTGTTATCGTATATTGTCAATGTCTTCCATCCTGTGAGTTTATTATCAATCTGGAAAGTATTAATTCCTTCAAAGCAACCATTACATATGTGCTTTGTTGCTTTCGTTGATGCTTTGATTATATTTTTTTTCTTGTTTATCAACCCAAAGCAATAGCCCAGAACAGTACATCTGAGCATGCTTGTTACATTGGTATGCTTTATTTCTTAGGATGATCTGTTAGCTGTGTTAGCTAGTTAGACCTCTGGCTGTCTTGGGAACCTGTTTATTTTTATTTTATTTTTTTCCAAAAGCTTTTTATTAGCACCTCTTGCTTCACCTAGCATGTTATGCAGTTATGTCCAAAGTGGAGAAAGACATACATTTGACCAGTTTCTGCACTTTCTCTGTCCCTTTAGGTGGATACCCTGCGCCATGTTATCAGTCAGACGGCAGGATACAATGATGCTCTAGCAGGAAACACCATGTATAGCCCTCATGTCCTAAATGTAAGTTTAAACTCCAATGGCTAACGATTAAACTGGTTTGCCTTCTGTAGTACTGCTTTTATCATCGACTACTCTGAAAAAGTTGGATAACAATATCAACTGTCTTGCATTGAGAAGTTATTTACACAGAAATCTTGCATTATTTACACAGGAAATTAAAGTTGGAATAACCGCATCGTCAGTGATCTTCCTGTGTAAATGTGCTGAAATAATGTATCGTCAAGTAAATGTAATTTTACATAAAAACGTCAAGAGAGGGAAAATACTACATGCTTACAACATTTTAACAAAATCTCACCTTAAAAATATTGAGCTTTATCTTTAACATGATATTTTACATCTATTCGATAAAACTAGAATTGCAAAATTTCATTTGTTTCCCCTTTCAAAAAGTGATTTGTGTAACGTTAGATAACGTGAGTTGTCACTTCATCACCTGAAATTATTGTATTCACCATCACTTTGTCTCGGAAGATGAATTAGATGAAAATAAAATAAATAAGTCTCCTGCTGCATATTCTTCTGCATTTCAGCTGTTTTGAAATGCTTGGGAGAATTTTCCACGGATTTCTCCTCATTATAAAAAGTGAACACGTGATGGCCCGAAGCCTTTCTCAGACATGAATTCCATCTTTCCTGATGAGGTTTGATATGGCGCCTTTTTGTAAAGCAACGCATAATCTGAAGCCATTAGAGTAAAGATTAATTTTCTTGATGAGGGAGGAAGAATAGTGAGGGAGCAAAAGAGAGAGAGACAGAGAGAGAGAGAAATGGTATCCGACAGCTTTCTCTCTGCAGTATATCAGAACCGCTCCCTTTGCATTGTTACTGTATGCCTGCTGGGTAAAATGCACACACACACACGCACGCACGCACACGCACACATTCTCAAATACCACTCGGAGTTGAGGCATCAAAATAAAATAACACATTTAGTTCTTACTGAAAATTACAGGAGGATTTCTGTGAAACAGAATTAGCATGTTTTATGAAAACAAATAGTGGCAGTTGTTTTTTGTGGTTTTTTGAGAGTTCAGGGTTTTAGTTTTGTTTTGGCTTTACTGTTGCTGTATCGCTGTAAGCTATGTCGGCATGTCAGCTCTGAACAAGATCAAGTGTTTTTTGCGTTCTCCAAAGGTTTCTCACTTCCATGTGCGTTGTGGACCTCATGGTTCACCAGAGTAGGCTGATGCTCCAAGTAAACACTATTTAATATCTGAAAATAATATGAATATTAAAATAAAAAAAAAAACAGAAAAAGGTGAAAACTCTTGTAGCAAAGCTCCGTTTTTCTCCTTTTTTTTTTCTATCAGCAACAATCCGCTTCTTCTACATGCATTTGCAGAGACTAACCTTTAGCTTTGTTGATGGTGACGTAGAGAGATCCAGTAAAGGCTAGGTCATGCCTGGAGCAAGGCATAGTCAGGCTGGCTAGGGCCGGCTCTCTTGGAGAGGCCCTGCCTTGTCACTTCCTCTCAGCTCTCCCCACCTCACCCGGCCGAGCCCTCCCTCTTCTTGACTGACAGGAGAATATGTAGCGACAAGCTGTCGTCCGCTGCTGAAATCTGCTTAGACACTGATTTCAGGGACTACTCCCATTGGTTCGGACAAGAGACAAATTTGTTTCCGGGGTGTCTCTTTGCTGATGCGGCTGTATTGCAATGACCGGACTACTCACATGGCATCAACATGTCTGGAGATGCAATTCCCCAAATGTGTTTGCCATCTTTATTATGTCTTCTTGAAAGAATGACTTCTTGCTTATTTTGTATTATTTTAATATCAGATACAGAAGTAAATATAGAATGCAGTTTTACAAAAAAATTGTCATTTATCAAGGAAATGAAGCTTTCACATTTCTGGAAGGGCTTTGGCCCACTCTTCTTTATTATGCAATTGTTCAAGTTCATCCACATTGGTGAGTTTTTATGCATTAACCGTTTGTATCACAGCATCTCAGTGAGATTAGATTTGAACTTTGACTTGGCCACTCAAAAAACTCTTTCTTCTTTTTTTTTCTTAAGCCTTGAAAAAAAAAGGCTTAAGAGGCTTTAGAGGTGGACTTCCAAAAGTCCACCTCTAAAAGTCCACTTTTAGACTTTTAGAGTCCACCTCTAAGAGAGGAGAATTTATTTTTATTGTTGAATCCTGAACAGAGATCTTAACTGAGACAAGAAATAAAATGTACAACACTTCTCCATGTTTTTTTCCCCACTGAGTCGCAAAACCTTAGAGACGGTTTGGTAATTTGTTTTCAAATTGAAAATGTCTACATTTATTTCTCATTTCTCTAGATTGAGGCACAATGGGTAACTTTCATGTTGTCAGAATGGTTCGATTTAACTCATTTCTTTCTTTTTAGCTGTAAGACAGTAATCAGCCCTGGCTGTGTCTACTAAAATAAAAAAAAGCACAAAAAATGTGCTTAGTCATACATACGTAAACATTAGTTTAAGGAGCTTGTTCCGATTATTTAATGAAATCATCATTTGAAAACTGAAATGTGTATTTACACCTAATCCTTATGTTGTCCATGAAAAGGTTTCAATATGACCGGATGCATGAGCTGTTCATGCTCTCTTCCATCTCTGACCTGCTTTCTCGTTGCAGCAGGTCAAACTGAAATCTCATCGTTTTTCCATTTGTCTCCTAGGCTAATGGAGGATGGCAAGATGCAAGGACTCCATCTTCTGTGATCTCTCCGACAGAAGGGCCTGGAAGTGTGCACTCGGACACCTCAAACTGATTAATGCATCTTCCCCTGCAGCGCAGCATGGACTTCTTCATTTCCTGTAAAACAGACAAGGACTTAAAAAAAAAAAAAAAAAAAAGAGCAAAAGAGTTTTCCTTAAGATTTCCGGTGACTGCGGTGCACACGTGCACATGTCATCCTCCATTACGGACACAAAGTGTTTCCTGATCACTCAGACTTTTTCTTTCATGAATCGACTGTAATCTCCATGCTTTTGTTGTAGTGGTAAACATGCAGGCGTACAAATACAAAGTCTCTCCCCAGAGCCCCCCCTAAACCAAACATAATCTTCCAAACTTTCAGGACAAATATCTCCAGCTCTGCAACGAAAATAACCGGATGACATTTTATGACATTTTAAACACCCGATCGTTCGATTGTTGATTTGATAGCCGCTCTCCATTTTGATAATTGAGCGCTCTTTCGTTTCCTTCAGTTAATGCAGCTGTTTCTTTGACTCTAATGTGCTCGCAGTCTTGTCCGGCGACTCGACAATGCTTGACACTGACGGCTCAGTGGCAGCTTCGCGGTTACTTCTCAAGATTTATTTTTGTCTCACAGCTGTGTACATGAGTGCGAGAAAATGACTATTCAAAGTGTGGAACATAAAGAAGCGTAATTGATTGCTTGACTAAAAACGTGACACGGTTCCATATTTTATAATTTGACGTTTTGTTGTGTACATATGTAAACATTTCTTTTGTACTGCTTATGGAATCAACAAATCTCCCCTACTGTAGATCATTCTGACACGGCCTGCAGGAGCCCGCCCCATTACGCTGGAAAAGTTGTACATAATATAGCTGAAGAGTAATTAAAACATCCGACCAATCAATGCGCCACTTTCTTACCTCATTCATAAAAACCAGTCATTTGAAACATTTCCGTAGCTTAGAGTGCTCACTTACTACCTCTAAACAATATCACCATCAAACCTTTTCTTTTCTTTTCTACTTTTCTGGTCCTTATTTAATGGTTTAATCTACTTATTTTTGATTACATCTCACAACAGTGTAAACTCTTCATTCCCTATGTAATCTAATGTATATTTTAATCTTTTAATAAAATTGCGTTGCTGTACTGCAACTTAAAATGAAACAAAAAATAAAAATAACAATATTAACACAATGGGGGAGGGGGTTGGACAGTCAGGGAAAGGGTGAAGAAATTCTTGGTTTAATGGCTTTTAACGAGGGCGGGGGTGACAAACGCCAAACAGTAAAACTGTTGTAAATACTGAAGAAGAAAAAAAAACAAAAAACATTTTGAATGTTGCTCATCTTGTTACTAAATCATTCAGAAAAAAAAAAAATCACGATAAAAACTGTAATGCATAGAGGTTTCAGTATTCAGAACTGTACATTTCCAGCTCTGTTCAACAGGGTGCAAGACTTCTTTTTCTCTCTTTTTTTTCTATTGTATGTGATTCTGAAACTGAAAAAAAAAAAGTCATGACAAATAATTTGTGGCAGTGATTCTGATGTATTAAAGATGTTTAGTGTTACTTTCTAACCAGACTACACCCTGGACAGAAAAGTCTTCCTTGTGGTAGTTGTGTAATTTCAAACATGAATAAAACTTTTTGCTTTCATGACACCAAGGATTTTCACTGTCTGTTTGTTGCATAAGTGGGAAAGCTTGATGTATTTTTTACCTATACCGACCTGCAGAAAAAACAAAAATTAAATTGATAATGAAAGTGCACAAAGTTGATAAGTTCCTTCATTTGATCAACAACAAAACAGTGCATTATGTTTATTTTATTTTAGAAGAAAAATTGATGTCAAACATCACATATTATGTACTTTCATGATGGTATTTTTACCTCTTTAGACTTTTCAAGTTTTATTATGCTAAAGTCAGAATTTTATTAGGATGTTTGTCATAGACCAACTCAAAGTTGTAGTTTATTGAAAGATACAATATTTATTTTTTTCACAAATAAAATCTGAAAAGTATGACATGACATACCTCCTTCAATTGGGGGACACAATAAATATGTGGAAGACATGCAATATGCTATGTATGAAAAGCCAGTGCTAAACACTCTGACTACACCCCCCAATGGTCAAACATATTGTTGGCAGCAGCATGTCATGATGTCTTTTTTAAAAAAAAAACGGAACAAAAAAAAAAAAACCCTGCAGTTGTAAATGCAGCAGGAGGCAGTTCTGCGAAGTATTTACACAGGAATGCTGAATCCAAATGTACTTCACACTTTTCATATTTCTATTTGAGGAAAACAAATGCCATTTTATTCCACTTCACACTTGTCTGCGGTTAAATGTTAGTCTCTCACAAAGTTTGTGGCTTTAACAGGACAAAGAGCAGAAAATCTCATGCGGTGTGAATACTTTTGCGAGGCGCCGTGTGAGGATGCTTTGTGTGGACGGAGGATGAGGATTTGGTAGGGAGCCACCGTTAGCTGACATAGTTAGTGCAATTAACTGAAATGTCAGACACTTCTAATTCAGGCTATTTTGTTCGTCTGTTGTGAAAAGGCTGGCTTAATGGATCATTGGTTCGCAATTCCACATGGAAATTGACATCCATTTATTCTCATTTTCACAGCGGCGTTCTCCATTCCTGTCTCTTTCCCTTCTCAGCTTGTGTCCCATGTTTGTGTCACTCATTCCTGGACTTTCTTGGAGTTTTGTCAAAAAAAAACCAACAAAAAAAAAAAAATCCACTCCTGAAAATAGGACTTTGCCTCTCAGAACAAGCAACATGCACACATGTGGCTTCATCTTAAAATGTGACGGCGGGGGGAAAGCAGAAAAAGAGATGTAACAGCACAAGTTTAATTCAAGCGCAATGCACAGACGGTTTCCCGGGAGAGCACATTTGTCCACTCAACCAGTGCAGAACTTCATTGAACACCTTTCTCTTGAAATCATATCTTTATCCTGAATGTTACACATCCGTGCTTCAGATCTCCAGCTGTATTTTTCACAAGGCAGTTTAAGCAGAAATACTCTGCTGCTTTTGAAAAACCCTAAAAAACATTGCCCTCACCCCCCCCAGATCCCCGCCCCCTCACTTTGCATAGCTTTTATTGTCAATATATTTTTAATGCATGTATTTATTATTAATATATTCTGCCAGAGACCAAGTTGTATATTTTTTCTATCTTGACTATTCAGGAATAATTAAAAAAATGTAAATTTAAACCAAGCTGGCTGTGCTGCTGCCTATTTGCTTATTCTGCTTTTCTTAATAAATACATTTGCTTCACAACAACTTGGACTGCTGGGTTTAAAGCGGTGTACTCTGCACAATTGCTCTCAGAACCTTTTCGAATAAAGAAGTTACATTTTCTTAGATTACGCCGATTAGAGGTTTTTCCAAGGTTCATTAAGGACGACATTTTCTAAGTAAAATTCACAGTGAAAAGCATGCATCATTAAATATGGAAATTCAGAATTATATTAGCAATATGCACCAAGCTAGTGCCAATTAAATTAGAGAAAGATATCATTTATATTATTAAGGTAGGGTTCATATTAGATTAAATATAATGTAATTTTTGTCACGGTTTGATTTATTGCTCATGGTGTATTGTTCACAGACCCATGTTACACCACTTTTCAATAGAGTGATTGTTTATATTAAAATGTAAAATGTAATGGGCTCCCACTAATAAAAGATTAGACTGCTGTGAGGTTTAAACTAAAAGTTCACAGTCATATATTGTTTTTTTTTTTCTTATGTTGTTTTTTTTTCTTGTAGATTCTGATTCCATTTGCAAGCGTTCCAACTACTGCATCAAACCACAGTCAAAGCTCGAAAGCCATGGAACCATTAATGCATTCTGTAACACTTAAGTAATGTGATCGCAAAGAGGGGAATAGATAAGTCTGGGTGGAGTCTGTGACAAAACGTTGCCGCTTTGATGCATGATCAAAGATTGCGGCATCACAAGAAAAAGCACAAACCTCAGACTCCACTTTTTTTTTAAGACAAAACATAACTTAATGTGACAAAAACATTTCAGTAATAGAGATTTTACAGATGCTTATTTCTGAAAATAACCAAATAATAAATAAGTAAACAAAGTGATTGCTCTCATGTGAGTTTTCCTGATGAAATGCCAGGTCCATCTCAGGGATTTAGTGTCATCAAAAAGTTTTTTTTATTGGAAGAGTTTATGGTAAAAAGCAAAACATAAGTGATACAGATTCATAACTTATAGAGTGACATCTCTCAACTTTTGGTTATTTTGTTGACTATGACTTCAACATAAACTCCAAATCCTGTTTTTAAGAAGGCTCGAATAATACCTGTAAACAAAATGCAGAAGCACCGAAATATTTTTGTAATTTTCACACTATGTCCTACATAATATTAGAGAAGACTTTCCTGATAAGTCTTTGACACCCACCACAAACAGAGCAAAGCAGCAAAAGTCATCTGGGAAGAAGCCGGGTGTTCACCATAGCTATATCTAAGTATGTTCATGGAAAGTTGAGTGGAAGAAAAAAATACGTGAGAAAAGACAAATCCAGATGAGATTCAACTAACATTGCCTTAGTTTCTGGAATGGCTTAATGTAAGGAACGCCACAATTGTAATTCACTCTGTCGATACACTGCAGTTCACACCCCAAAACTCTAAAATGGAAAATGCTTCACACACCGTTAAGACTATGGTTTCCTATGTTCCTTGTGCATGTTTTGGTATCACACTTTTTGCTTCCACTCAACTTTCCTTTGATATGCTTGCATACAGGACTCTGTGAACAAACATAAGCCTTAGCAATAAGTTTTGTGGTTTATGCTTTTGGTGTAGACTAAGATGGTAGAGCAGTGATTCCGAGGATTGAACACAACACATCACGTTTTCACAATACTGGGTCTAGTCCCTTCTGATTAAAAAAGTGAATATTTTCTCAGAGAAAGGAGAAGAAAGAGATTTTTACCATATGCCAATAAAATTACATTATAATTTTTTAATGCCAAAATGTGACATTACAGTAACAGGAGATTCCTGAAAAATTACCGGTGAAGTATTTCATTAACTTGCCAGTGCCCATCCATTGAAAACAATAGCTTCCCATCACAGATTGATTAGCGGAATGTGCATACAGCCATGGGACAGGAAGATGAGACAATAGTTTGATTTACAGAGCAGATGTACGGAGGACCACGGACTCCCTGCACTGATCTGTCCAGCTGCACTGACTTTCATGGAAAGAGATGAGGTCCTGGGTGGCCTTCGAGCTGAAAACAGTAGAGTTAAATAGAGTTAATTAACATTTGATCCTAACGCCCTCTACATCTCCAGAAGTTCATTTTCAATTCCGCTTCAAGCCATTCACTCATTTTGGTGCTGGGAGATCGAAAGTAGTGTCATCTCTGAACTGAGAGGTGGTTTCCCATCGCTGCTGCTTGGGCAGAAAACAGGCAAGTTGAAGGCTTGTGACAGGAAGCAGATGTTTGCCTTACCTCTTAGCAGACACATGTCAACAAGCGCTGCCTTTGTGCTGCTCAAATTTCCTGACACCGAGCAGGAAAAGATGGAATATGGAGGAAAGCAGGAGAGCTACGATTCCGTCACTGCTTCGTTCTTCGTCCTCAGCTCAGACATTTACACGCTCTTATTAATTAAGCCAGAAGATACTTTTTATTTAGCAATTGCTTTATGCCTGTTCTTTTACCACAGCATCACATAATCAAATTGATGTAATTAGTAAGAATGTCATTAATTTAGTTCAGAGTTTCTGGTTGTAAAACTCAGATTTCTTTTGACTTAAAATTAAAAAATGCAACAAAAAAATTTTATGAAAAAGGGGTGCTTTAAAGTTGAAATTAAAGTAAAATTAATGTAAACAGGAATCTGAAAAGTAATTTATTGATTTTTTTTTTTCATAAAATTTTACATGGTGTGTGTAAAAAGATATCCATTTCTTGTATAATATGTATGTAGTGTATTAGAATTTAATTTAATTTTCAAGTTTTCTTCATCTTTGAGACAAACAAGCATAAAAATTGAAATCTGTTTTCAGCGGAACTTATTTGTGTTTACATGTTGACCAAGAGGGCCACCACAAGGGGAAATCCAGGAAGATGACTGACTTAATTTTCAATCTTTGAAGAAGGCAAAAAGTGAGAGATCTAAAGCAAGAGCATGTTTCTGACTACATGCTCTTGTTATTTGTTGTTTTTCTAGAACAGAAATGTCCTGCCAGGTGTCATTTGTCACATTTTTTCAGCAGTAATTCAAACACAGGATGGCAACATGCTGAGAATGACATTCAAAAGATTCTTGAAATACCATGGATGTGTTATTACAGGAGATGTATTTTAAGTTTGCAACCTGGATGATCCTTACTAGGGGATCTTGTCAGCGCTGCTACTTCAAAAGAGATATTCCACTGATAGTTTAAGGTCTCAATGAGTTTACGGAGAGGTTGGAGCTGACATAGAGGATCAGGAGTCAGCAGTTTGCTCTGTGTTTCTTTTAATATTTCTGTCCATGCCATCCAATAAATATAAGATATAAGATCACAGAGTATTTTCTATGTTTTAATATATATCAAAGAGCCACGCAATTCTTTGATGATGATATTTGAACCGCAAAGAAACAGAACTGTTCAG